CGACGGAGAACCGAGAAACCCAGGAAGGAACACACCAGGCTAGATGGTAAAAGACCTTTATTAGTCTGGCCAGACGGCACTCCCAGAACCAGGTGGCTCAGAGAGGCAACTGCTCAGGGGCTGAGGTACTTTTTATAAGGTTTTTCTAAACAAAGAGTCAGGGAATTCACAGAACAAGACTGCAAACACATTGCTTATCTTATGCAGGAAATGTTCTAGGGTCACCTTTTGTCAAACCATTTGCCCCTGGGTGGGCTGTTAACCAAGGTAGCAATTAGCATATGAAGAAGCACAGTCTGGCCTATTAGCATGGAGTCACTTTAGCCTATTCAAGTCTTACAACAGAGGCTGAGGTTATGGGTATCCATTTCCTCTCTCCTCCCACTTTCTCATCAGGGAGAGAACAGAGGACCTCAGTTTTTAATTCCCCAAGGCTGAGTGTGCTAGACAGACCAGGCAGAAGGAAGGAGCTGGTAGGAGTGACAAAAGATGTGTGTTCGTGTATGGGTGGGTAGACATTCCTCCAGGGTCTGGAGTGTGGCCCCTGATTTATTTCCTCAAATCCCTGAGCCAGTTCCTATTACTGAGAGATCAGAATTGCTCCATAAAAGCATTACAGCTTTAGGGAAAGCAGATGAGCCAGGCTAGAGCCAGGGGTAAAGAAGTAACAAATAAACAAACCCAAACACCAGAGCTCAGCCAGATTTGGACACAGGTACACAATGAGGGAGAAGGAGCCCTGGGATTTGAGGTTTATCTAGGTCCCCAAATCAACCTGGAAGACAGAAGCCCTTTAGTGTGATTGAACTTTTGCAACTTCAGGGTGGCAGTGTGGTCATAGTAGTCTCTTCTCTCCTTGGACCTTGGCTTTCCCAAATGTGGAAATGGGATGAATATTAGCAAACTCTTGAGAATTTTGCAACTGCTTTCAAAATAATGAAACCTGACATAGTGGTTCAGAGCACCAAGCTGAGGTCTGGTTTCGATATCAGTGTATGACTTTGGATACAGAACTCTTAACCACTTTGTACTTCAATTTTCCTAAAATGGAGATAATAATAGAGCTAGGTGATAGGTAGCTAAGATGACTGCACTGATATTTGTAAAACATAAGCCTGGCATATGTGGAGGTAGGGAGTACTATAGGAATAGTTATCAAAAAAATAAACATACAAAAATTTGTTGCTATTCATCCCTGGCCTTGTAAGGTTGTTTCCTTTTCCAGGAACACTTTCCTTCCCACCTCTTTGCCAGTGAACTTTAGTCTCATTTGGGTTATTTTATTACTTGTTTCCTATCACTTCCTGGGCTTTCTCCAGCCTGGCTTCATGGTTTTCTCATCTGAAACACACAAGGCTGGATTGGTGTTCCAACATTCAGCCACATATATGCCTCCTTTCCATGTTTCCTACTTCTACTTGGATATACTTATGTTTATCTTTAAATTGACTATATTACATAAAAATACTCCTTCAAGGTGACAGATAATCCTAAATAATAGTAGTAGTAAAGCAATTTATTTCTCTCACACATAAAAATATGAGAAATTATTGCAGGCTGTTATTTTCATTTGGTCATCAGGTACTAAGGTTCCTTCAGGTTTATTGCTCTCCCATTCTAATGGGCTTCTATCTCATGGTCCAAAGTGGCTGCTCATGTACCAACCATCATGCCTACATTCTTACAGCATAAAAGACAAGGAGAAGAGAAGGAAGGATTCCTTCCTTTCAGGATACAATGCATTTTTTCCTATACTACCTCCTCTGATATCCTAATGTCTTATCATCCACTTGGCCATACCTGGCAGCAAGAGTGGCTGAAAAATGGAATACTTGTTCTGGATGCACTGTGCTTGCACTAACCAAGAATTTTGTCCCAGTGTAAAAAGGGGGGGGAGGGAGTGAGTGAGTATTGGAGGAAAATGGACATTTCCATTGCATCAGCTGCATAGGCACTCATTTCTTTTTCTGCCACTACTATAAGCAATATTATCCATGACAACTGTGGCTTCATGAGCTTGTTAAAGATTTTTCTGAAATGATTTAAAATGAATACTTAGCCATTGAAGATAATCACGTGTGTAGCTAGAGCGTAGGTGAAAGAAGATTGTTACTTAGTGATCCTTAATGATCCATGTCTGTCAATGTTCATAACTTTATACAGATTCCTCCTCTTGAAATCAGGCTGGCCTGTGACCTATAGTAAGCAGTGAAATACAGTGAAAAAATAAATGCTAGGCCAGGTCCAGGCCTCAATCTTAAGAAGGCCTAGGAGCTTCCTCTTTAGTGCTCAGGGAAATCAGCCACTGAGTGCTATGTGCACATTCTGACCACCTGGAGACCAGCACTGTGTAAGGAGGCCCAACCTGGCCACATGAAGGGACCATGTGGAAGAGGACACAAACCCCCAGATGACAAGGATCGCCAAGTCTACAGATACAGGGTGATGACCAAGCTGCCCCCACTACCTCCTAGCTGTTCATGCCACCCAGGTGACACCATATGGAAAAGAACTGAGCTGCCTCCACTGAGACTGGCACACACTAGAAAACTGTGAGCAAATAAACGATGATTTCCTACTAAGCTGCTACATTTTGGGGTGTTATGTTATATAGCAATAGATAACCAACCACATATTTATGTATGTACCATCTAAAATCATGTTATGTTCCACTATCCTTCAGAATATTCTGGATTCAGAGGATGCTTTAATAAGAGTTCCCCATTGTTCCTTTCACAAATACACAGTATGTGTGGCACATAATTACAGCTAATTTTTGTGTGTAATTACTGTGTATAACATGACTGTGTATGCCAACATGACCACAATAACCTCCAACACGGTCTGTTTTCTCTCCTGTCCCTCTGGACATGAGACCTGCCAGGAGAAGATTTTCACAGTGCAAATCTGAGAGCATCACACCCAGGTGTATTACCCACTGCAAAGTCCAAATGGGATCTTCTTAGGTTCAAGTACACATTCAGACTCAACAGATGACCATAAGCCACTCTTGCACTGACCTATCCCAGAAGATGTAGGACAGGGACTTCAATTTTTTCCATTTGGCACTCAGTGCCATCAGGGTGCTCCTCGGAACAGAAGTCCTGTTGCCTTCACTGGAGCAGAACTGTTCAGGTGCAAAATGGAAGTCCCACTGGGTAGGTGCAGGACCAGTCCTGGTTTAAAAACTTTCATATCCATGAGAGTCAAGACTTTGGATCTGCCCAGGTACCTGCATTACCATACTCAGGAAGCCCAAGGTATAATTTTCAGCCAGCTATTTACAGTTTTTTCCTGCTGCTGTTAAAAATGACAACATATTTTTTTTTTTGTACCATGGATTGAACTCAGGACATTGTTCTTGTGAGGCAGGCAGAGGAACGACTGAGCTAAATTCCCTGCCCTAGCAACATAATTATTTTTTAGAACACTTTTAAATTTATAAAGCAAAGAGTAGGGCAGAGAATTACTATGTATCCCACCACTAGTGTTCCCTATCATTAGCATCTTACATTAGCACATTTGTTTCAATTAATGACCCAATGTTGACACATTATCATTAGCAAAAGCTTATACTATATTCACATTTCCCCAGTTTTTATGTGCTGTACTTTTTCTTTTTTTCCAGAAGCTCATCAAGTATATCATACTATATTTCACTGTGATGTGTCTCCTTAGGCTTCTCTTGTTTGTGACAATTTCTCAGACTTTCCTTGCTCTTAATGATCTTGACAGCTTTGAGGAAAACTAGTAAGAAATTTTATAAAATATCTTTATAAAAGTTGGCATTAGTTTGATGTTTATCTCATGGTTAGACTGGGGTCACGGGTTGAGGACTGAAGGCCCCAGAAAAAATGCACCATTTGTACCACATTATATCAAGTGTGGACACTGTCAAGTCATGACCTGACTCTTGATGTAGAGCATGGCCACCTGGCTGAGGTAACCAGGTATGTCAGGGTTCTCCACTATAAATTCAGTTTCACTCTCCATCTTGTAACTTGGAAAGCAAGTTACTATGCAAGCCATACTTCAGGATTCAGGGGTTATGACCTCCTTCCTTGGGGACCAAGTAGGCACCTATTTGGAATTTTGCATGGGAAATTTATCTCTCCTCTTCATTTACTCATTTATTTGTTCAGTTATTTATATCAGTATGAACACATAGATATTTATTTCTTTTTTTGTTTTGTTTTGTTTTTTTGAGACAGGGTCTCACAATTGTAGTTGAGACTGACCTGGAACTCACAATGTAGCCGAGGCTGGTTTCGAACTCGCAGCGATCCTCCTGCCTCAGTCTCCCGAGTGCTGGGATTACAGGCGTGTGCTACCACGCCCGGCTTTATTTCATATTTTGTTACAACCCAATATTACTTTATTTTGTTGTTTAAATTTTTCATTATGGCCATTGAGAGTTCTTTAAATTGCCCTATGTCCTTTGACATCCCCCCCATCAGTGTGTGTGTGTGTGTGTGTGTGTGTGTGTGTGTGTGTGCGCGCGTTGAGCTTTTAAAGATTTCCTGGTACTATAAGATACTCCAGGCTCATCTTCTATATTTGCTGATATTGACAAGTAAACAAAGGTCAAATTTACTTGCAAAAGGGGAAACGTTTGGTTATTCCAAATCTCTATGTCTCCTTGAGTTTTGTGCACTGGGCCCCTCACTTTCCTTAGCACACCTTTCCTCTCTGCCTTTTCAAGAAAAGAGCGGAGACAGTCATCCTACTCACTACCTATTCACCATACCTCCATGCTGGGGTCTGTGGGATATAGCTTGGGCCCTGTTCTCCAGGAGCTGCCATCTGATGGAGCAGGCTGCCCTTCAACAGACAATCACATCAGAGATAAGGGCGCTAATGCAGACGACAGGAAAGCCCAGATGAGCGGCCGCTGGGGGTGGGGGGGTGGGGTGAGTGTCGGCCGGTGAGCTTCTCAGCAGAGGCATTGCAGCTGGGCCTCAGAGAGTGGCTTTTGTGACCCCGGCTACATCCCAGAACATTCTTGTCCCACAGACCAGGGACAGAGGCTCCCCAGACGCTTTCTTTCAGCCTTCAGGTGGCGCCTTTGTGCCATGGAGCCCGACGCGCCAGTGATTCTGGACGTGTGTATCTCAGAGGGGTCAGATCCTACCCGGGATCGTGCGTATGCGTATGCGCGCGCGCGCGCGCGCGCGTGTGTGTGTGCGTGTGTGTGTGTGCAGGGGAGAAGGGGCAGGGAGAGGGCGGGCACCTGAGCTCGGCGCAGCAGGGCCTCCTCGTGGCTGAGGAGGGGTCTTCAGCCCCTCCCCCAGCCTGGTCCCCGAGACCCGGAACCACGGGTTCCGAGCCCAGGTTCAACCATCCCGGCGCAGGCAAGATAGATAAGCCCCGAGAGGAGGGAGAGGAGGAGGGACGCGCATCCCCCGCACTCCCCCCAGTCCTTCACCCCTCTCCCTGTGCTTCCCGGCGCTAACTCTCCGAGCGCCCTCGCCGGCCGCGGGCGCGGCGCTGGAGA